CCCAGGACCGCACCTGGTACCCATTCAAAGCTGGGTCGACCTGTGAGTCAAGGTCCTTTTTTAAAAGAAAAAAACTCACGACTCTCTAATCCGCAGGCGGGCGTCTAGCCGCCAACGCCACGGTGACTGCCGTAATAAGATAATTTAAGAGGTTTATGAAAGGAACATGCCTCACCATGTAAATTTTTTTTACATTTTATTTTTATATTCCTACCCGGAAATGCAACCTGACGGGATAGACTTCTAATGATCTAAATAGTGACTATTTAAGTGACTTTAAGTGTGGGGTCCACAGCCTGAGTGTTTTGATGTTGTTTATTTAAAAAAAAGGTGGGGCTGGCAGAGGGATAAAGTCACTGCTCCACAAGAAGAATGTCATAAATTTCGGTTTAATTAATGATTTGTAAAATTCAGGTGTGTTGTATCGAAATACAAAGATATCACAACCTAGTTATACACCCCTATACAATTCGCCGGGATACACCATACGACACATACCACGAGCATACGACCAGCGCAGACAGCCCAGTCGCACACAGCTCTCGTTCGCTCTAACCGCCCGATCAGCCACGTGTGTCTCGCGTTCGCTCGCTAACTATCCATTCGCAGCCTTATTATCGATAGCTAGATACTGGTCAATACTCGCTTGATTTTCGGCTGAGTTTACTACGCTATCGGTTGTCTCTTAAGCAGCCCGTGAGCACATCATTGTTGAGAAGCCTGTTGTAGCCCATATACAAACGACTGTCTCGTGAACTGCGGAGAAGACACGCTTGGTGTACTTTTCAGTTCATGCCTTGTTGACTCTGCAGGAATCGAGCTGTCGAATAGCCGCCTGATTAGCACCAGTCTCAGCCTAAATCAACCATGGCCCGTGGCAAATCCAGCAGAAGAAGCCCTTCCAGCGCCGAAACACCAGATCGAAGGGATAAGTACACCAGCCCCTGCGGTGCAGACAATGCCAGAAACTACCGACGCTCCTGTAGAGACGACAGCCTCGCCCACCCACACGATTACCAACCATAGACGAAGCACTGTCGGGCACCGGCACCAGACCAGACACCACCAGTCACTGTCGCAGCCACAGCAGAACCAATAAGTGCCGTACCCGCCACCAACAGCAGAATGGATCCTTCCACTCAGGAATCATGCAGTGCTCCCGATGCCGTCGCGGACCTGCCTCAGCAAAGGTACTGCACCGGCCCGCATGATTTAAGGAGTGCCCCCTGGCAAAAGTGGATCCAGACTTCAATGCAAGTAGGAAGTGCTCTAGCTGCTCAGGTGGACACAGCGCCAGGTACCAGGGCAGCCCGTACCTGAAAGGGATCAAGAGAGTCGGGCCGACAACCACCAATAGGCCCACTCAAAAACAAGAGCCAAGACGAAGATTCCAGGCGCCTAGCTCGACAATCGCACCACCCGCAACCAACAAGGAGATCACGCTCTTGAGGGACGAAATCAAAACCCTCAGGGAAGAAAACACAAAGATCAAAGCATTAAGGATCCAGGATAGAGACGAAAAGAACGACCTAAGAAGTATCATACAGAAACCCAACGAAGACTGGAGAAAAAAAAAATGTCGAGATGATGGCATTCAAGACAGAATTGATGGCGATGCTCACTGAACTCAAAAAGATCAAGGTAGCAGAAGCCGAATCCGCCAAGATCTAAGAAGCCATACAAATCTACTATCTGATGTCGCCGATGCCAAGAAAGAAAAGCTATAGAAAACAAAAGAGAGCTAGCCAGGCAAAGAAGAATTGACCAAACTGAGCGCCGCAGCAAGCCACCAATGAATGGACGCCAGAGAAGCGCAAGAAAGAAGCGAACGAAAAAGGCAATCAGTCCAAAACCGCAAAAAAAAAGCACAGAAAGCAAAAATAACCGCCGCAGAAATAACAGAAGAAGAACTCGAAGCAATGAGGAAGACAGAAAAGCGAAACAAGCAGCAAAAGAAGAGTCAGACAAAATAGACGCAGAACTAGAAGATACGCGGGAATCGTACGAAGACAAACTGGCTAGAGAAACTCGAAGAAAACTAACCCAAGCCCTCCAGACCAGCCGCCATGACAGCTGAAGCCAACCACCCAGCCCGGAGAGACCCCAGCTCGCTACCAGCCAGGCATGATGTTAACGCCAAACCCAATCCCTCCCACCCGTTCGAGGCCGCCCCGGCAAACTTCAAGGACTAGAAACTTCCGCCTACCACTCCCAATCACGGCCAACATCGCAGAAACACGCAAGGAAACCACTTCTAGACGTAGTTTCGTCACAATTGAAAAAAAACTATGCTTCCATTCTAAATAAACGCAGTCCCAAATAACCGACGCTCATCATTGGAGCTGGTTAGGGTGACAAGAACTTTGTTTTTTAACAAGTGTCTGGACACTACTCGCGGACGCCCTTTTGTGGACCAAAGAAGAAGAAGGAGGAGGAGGAAGAGGAAGAGGAGGAAGTTAATCCAACAGCGCCAAATTCAGAAGATCTCTCTCAAAGTTATATTTTTAAAGAAAAATCTGCTTTTATTCTAGTTGACGATCTCGTAACAGCAGGCGAGTGTCTACTCGCTTTGTGACACTGATACACACACACACACACACACACACACACACACACACACACACACACACACACACCACACACACACACCCACACCCGCATACACGAGGGGAAGTAAAAAAAAAAGTATCTACATTTCTAATATAACTATTCGCACACTGTCCACATTTACTTGTGTCCTCGGTTATTTTATTACACTGCTGTGGTAGTGCTATGAAATTTTTCGTTATTTGAAGCCCCACCCTGGCTCTTGTCAGGGGCCGCAATATAGCCAGGCCATAAATATGGCCTAATGGCTAAACGCGGTTTCTGGGACCTCTCCGCGGTGACCCTCATCCACATGGTGGCACACTGTGTCATCAGGTGTTTATCGCTTGTGTGATGTCCTAATGGGGTAGAAAGTCAGTCATAATTCCTCAATTGTTCTCCTTTCTGTTGCAGATAGATCATGGTCGCTCCATTTGAGGTTTGCACCGAAGAGCAACATCGAGCAGTAATTCGATTCCTCAGGTCGGAATGTGTTGAAGGTTCAGAAATTCATTGTAGACTATCATCGTAATATAAGGGAAGTGCACTGTCGGGTAAAACTGAGTTCATGTGGATCGAGGAGTTTAAAAGTTGTCGAACAAATTTTATCACAAAAAGAGGGAACAGGACGGCCAGGAGCCTTCACTACAGACAACAACATTTAGCAAGTTCCCCAGTTCTGGCGGATAGGCCAGTTACTATCGATGAGGTAGCACCTGCGTTAGACATTTGTCATGGTTCCGCCCAGCAAATCATCCACGACGAGCTCGGCTTTAAAAAAAAATCTGTGGTGGTGGGTACCAAGAAAGCTTACTGCAGAAAACAAACTCACTCATGTAAAATGCGGTGCCAAAATGGCTTCACGGCCAACCCAAAAACTTTTATTCGGAAGGAATACGGCTTGCTGACCGTTGGGCAAAGTGTATTGATAAGGTGGGAGATTACATTGTCTTCTTTTTCTTTGTGGGTAGCCTCTATGAACTCGCATGTCAGTAAATGGTCCTTCAATGTTCCCCAAGGCTTGCTCTACACACTTTGCTCTTGAGGCCAGGTGTCTTTTCGAAGATGTATGTAGAGTGGGCAGGTCTTCAGAATGTGCTGAGGTATTTTTGGTCCTGTTTGACAAGCACACCATGGGCACTTTACAGTCTTTTTTTTTTATGCGTCTGGTAGTTGAGCCAGCAGTGTCCTGTTCGTAGACGGACAACTGTTGTATGTTGCTTTCTGTTGAGTTTGCTGATGGGGTCTTGTGGATGTTTACTGTTAGTTTGTTCTCTTCACAATTCCTTGTATTTTCCCTAGATAAGTGTTCTGATTTCTGGTAATAACAATGGATGGGGTGTTTTGTTTCTCCTTTGTTCCATTTTGAGCAAGTCTGTCGGCTAACTCATATCCTGATATGCCGCAGTGAGCCGTGATCTACTGGAGAACGATCTTATTGTTTTCAGCGAGTCTGTTTAGCTGTTGGGTCACTTCTCTCTCCACATGTTGTCTCGTGGATCCCTCTGAGTCGCAAGGAGGACTGACATGTGTCCATTCGGATCTTGCATTGAAAAATGATGTGCACAGTAAAACGCTAGCTTCATGTAAATAAATTGTGGAATGAAAAGTGTGGATAATTTTTGACTCTCTCTCTCTCTCTCTCTCTCTCTCTCTCTCTCACTCTCTCTCTCTCTCTCTCTCTCTCTCTCTCTCTCTTCTCTCTCTCTCTCTCTCTCTCTCTCTCTCTCTCTCTCTCTCTCTCTCTCGTATATACACATGTATGTATGTATAAAGTAAACCTCATCAATACGGATCCCAAGTTCGTATTAAAAAAATCAGTGCTAACTGGGAGCTATTAACAATGCTGGGACCACCATTTTGTTCATGTTAAACGAGTGTTATTCTTAAGCAAGCTGGGTTAACAATACTTTACCCTGTGTGTCTAAGCAATTAAAATATAATGTATAATACGTCATGACAACAGCAGAGCCGGGGGAGGGGGGGGGGGGGGGGACATTATATTGGTGCTTTTGTAGTAAATCGGGCTACCAGTTACCTCCGTATAGAAGGCATTTTATAGGATAATTCCTTGTTCACAGCTTTACCATTATAATGGTTTTATTGTAAGTAAAGAAATAATGTACGCGCACATGTGTGATATGAGGAAATAATGTTCAAAAAGAAGGAAAAAAAAAGAAATAAAAAATGGTGTCTGAGATGAGTGGAATCGAGAGAAGGCGTATATGATGATGATGATGATGATGATGACTATGATACTGGTAATAATAATCACGAGAAATATGATGATGATGGCAACAACAAAGGCGACAGCGATGACGATGATGACGATAAAAGGAAGGAGAAAAGAATTTATTTAATCAATTAGTAATAGTGCAGAAAACACGAAGAAGGCGCGCACTCACATACCAATCCTAATCTTCATCAGCTGGAGGCAGCCCTGTAGCCCAGACTTCGGCAGCGGTCCTATCTTTGTTGTCCTCCTGAGAAATCTCAACCCTGTTTTCATAGTCGCTGGGAGGACTCAGATCTCCCAGTGTCTGATCAGACTGTGGTAGAGGGTCGGCAAACTGATGTCTGGCAGGCACGATGCTGACATCTGCGCAGCTGAAGAATCTCTCTTGAACACCGCATCCGAGACATGACTCTTTGGTAACTGGGTCATAACCCCAGCTATTACCTGGAGAGATTAACATCAATGTACAAATAGTTTATAGAAGTTAGTTAGTTAGTGGATAGATTATCCTCATTGCAAATCGAACAATTGAGTCCATAAGTGCTCCGATTTTTTGGGGATCCAGAAACCATGAAATATAAACACTTTGGCTCTGTACTATGGATATCGCAACCCTTCGGCCTTGATTCCATGATAGATATCGTAAATCTTAGAGATGTGTGGCTTTTCCTCCTATCCAAGAGCGTGATTTCGAACCACAAGGAGTTTGCCAGACGGTCGCCGCGTTTCTGGTTTAACAAACTGAGCTAGCTCGCCGGACAAGTGCTCGGAACCCTTCCTCAGTCAATCCGGCAGCGTGTAACGGTTCACGACGCCAGTCATGTGTAGAGTTCTTAGAATAATGTTCCTCGATCCTTTTTTACATCCATTAGCCACCAAAACTGGAGAAATGTGAATATAACTGTTCTATGCGCTTGAAAGGGATTTCCGATATTCGTACATGATTCTTCTTTCGTTCGCTTCAAACAAGTTGTCTACATCAGCAATTTTGTGTCTCGTATAAATTTCACTGTCGTTGTTAGTTCATTCAGTGGTCCATAGAGTTTGCGTTCCCCTGTTCTTTTTCTGGCTAAAATGTTTGTCTTAATGCAATGATTCCAAAACTGTGCAGCACAATAGTCTCTTCACAGGGACGCCGCGAAATATTGTAAAATCTTCATAACTAATTCAACCAAGATACGAATAGTCGTACTTTTATCTAGGTTAGCTCGCTGTGGAAACATTCTAATTGAAAAAAAGGCGCCGCGACCAAGAACAGTTTGGAAATACTGTATTAATGTATTAAGTCGGTCCACTCCTGAAGTACACATTTCGCTGTCTGGGGCACCTTTACATTGGTGCATATGGCTCATTTGCCAATCTGGAATTTTGTGTACATGTGGTTACGCAATCGGGTCGTACCTGTTTGATTTTATTTGCATCACTGAAGTGTCAATCCGGCAGAATGCAATCCTGGAGGGGGGAAACAATCCTTGTTTCATGATTAGGCAGAAATATTTGACGGGCTGTATGAACCGTGGCCCAGTAGTTGAGGAACTTGGTTCAGAACTTGAGCACGTGATCCTGGGGGGCGGGGCGATGGAGATAGGAGACTTTCCTTACATCCCTAATACTTTTTACCAGGTCTAAACTCCCCCTTTCCCTTGTCACGCCACCTCTAGAACACTTGCAAAGGGGCTAAGTAATCCCTCTAACCATGTATAAACATTCTGTTTATAAATATTTGTTTATATACTAGTACACTATTTCAGATATTATTATTATTATTATTGTGTACTCAAAAAGACTTGCACCCCTTCAGTCCCGCACTAGAACATTATAAACAAAAGTGGCTGAGCAATGTTTTCCTTAAGTCGGTGAAGCTGGTTAAGCATGTAGTAATAATTATGAACATGGCCTAATGTTAAAGGCAAACATAGTTAAACATTAACATAGTTAAACATTACCATAGTTAAACATTACCTTAGTTAAACATTACCATAGTTAAACATTAACATGGTTAAACATTACCTTAGTTAAACATTAACATAGTTAAACATTAACAAGAAAATAACCAAACATAATCTCATTAAATTTCCCTTGTGGATTCCGGGGTCCTTCATAAGATAAAGGGGGAGGGGTTGAAGAAGACTAACAGTTTCCCTCCCCCAACCCATAACAAGCATGTCGTAAAGAGCGATTGAGGGTTTGTTAAAATCCGGTTTGTTGGTCAAACGGCGCATATATCGCAGCCGAGCTGTAATCTACAACGCAACGTGTAAATCACGCTTTTAATTGTGAATAAGGAGGGTAACGGGAGAGGTGCGAGATGCGCGCCTGTGGGTATGTGAGAGAAAGAAAGATAGAGCTGTTGTATTGGTATTTCTGGTTATCTTCCCCTGATGACGTGAGCGCGCGCGCGCACACACACACACACACACACAATGGTGTCTGCCCTCATTCCTGCCAATATATATTCCTCTCCGGGCTGCTTCCTGAAGCTCGGGCCCCTTCCCCTCCCCCGACAATTAGATCTCATCCTTGAGAGCAAGATGAAGAGTTATCATTGGGGCATTAGCAACGGCTGGTGTAGCAACTGCTGGTGTAGCAACGGCTGGTGTATCAACGGCTGGTATATCAACGGCTGGTGTAGCAACGGCTGGTGTCTCAACGGTTGGTGTCTCAACGGCTGGTGTCGCAACGGCTGGTGTAGCAACGGCTGGTGTCTCAACGGCTGGTGTAACGGCTGGTGTCGCAACGGCTGGTGTCGCAACGGCTGGTGTAGCAACGGCTGGTGTCGCAACGGCTGGTGTAGCAACGGCTGGTGTAGCAACGGCTGGTGTAGCAACTGCTGGTGTCGCGACGGCTGGTGTAGCAACGGCCCTTGTGCAAGTGGAGAGTTTAAGATTGTCTGCTTCTTGAGTTTAATTTTACAAACTCTGTTACAAATCTGGAGATTAAAGTGTTTATTCTAGCCATATCACTGATTCATCGTCATCGTTCCCTAACACTGCGTGTCACTGGGTTACCAGTTGCTGTTGGCTGATCAGCTCTCTCCATCTTTGACGGTCAGGTGAAGTGGACTTCTTGAGTCAGTCAAGTTCTGTATCCAGGTCTTTCTTGGTCTGCCTCTTCTCCTCTATCCCTCGAGTATTTTCACGATTGTCCAAGACCACTTGCATGTTCTAATGAAACAGCTGACAAACAAGCTAAGGGTTACAGTTTAAATGTTACACTCTAATTTCACCGTACCAGTTTTATAGAACCACCGAAGCACACACTGAGAGCATGTAACTCCTGGAGGAAGTTTGGCTTTAATGGTTATATCCCCTGTCACGCCAGATTTCAGCTGAAACCTGAAAATACAAAGGTATTTTAAGTTTAGCGATGTTTCATCACAGCGAAATTCTAATTAACTTGGGTGTTACAGACTGTCACTGTAGCGAGAATCTAACTCCTTATGTTGTTTCTTTGAGCAAGATTTAACCTACTGCCTACTTGCTGGGCCTATCGCACTTTAATGTGAGCCAGAACCCCGTTAGCCTGGCCAAGATTTACACCCGATGCCTTGTAAAAATCTGACGCTGAAAGGCACAATAGGGCTGGAGAAAAGTAAAAGAAAATCTTAATATCTGAGGTTTCACGTTTTTATTATAGATAGAATCCAACATTTCACAACCTAGGCGGTGATTAGTTAGTTAGTCTTTCCTCTTGTGTCGAGTGCGGCACATAGGGCAGAGGTCGTGACTCTCCATGCATGGCGTTTCGTTGCAATCTGTTGTAGGTCTTGGATGTTTGCGTGGCCCATGAGCGAGCCTTCCCTGATGATAGTTCTACGTAGGGTTTCCCTTGATCTTCCACGAGATATTTTCCCCTGTGGTGTCCAAATGAGGGCTTGGTAAGGAAATCTTGATTTATCCATTCTAAGGGCGTGGCCGACATAGTTCCAGCGGCGTTTTCGTATAAAATTAGACAAATACTCTTGCCTGGATTCTTGCCTTATTTGTGTATTCGGAAATCTGACCATTTGAAATGTAGTATTCTTCTAAGGCATTTATTTTCGAAACTGTCTAGTTTTGTGTCTAGAGTTTTCGTTGATTTCCAGCTCTCGCATCCATAGGTTAGTACTGGAATCACACAAGAATTGAAGATATTGAGTTTTGTGTGTTTCTAGATGTTGGACAATTTATTGAAGGCACTAGATGCCAGTGCTATTCTAAATGGTATTTTGGTGCGGTATCTCCTGTAGATGACATCTTGCTCCCTAGATAAGTGAAACTTATCGGCGATACTTAAAAAAAAAAATTATTTTTGTTCATTAAAAAAAAAAAAGTACTGTCAATGTTAGTTACATTATATATATACCTAGCAAAGGTAAAGGTAAAGTCGGGAGATCTGAGCCAGCGTCTCTGCACACGGTTGTTAACCATAAGTACTCTGCCACCAGTAGGGACAGCTAATACGAAACTGTCCGCCTGTGTCGCCGTCTGCACGCAACTCCGTAACTACAGCGACGTTCCTCCATTTACCCCAGAGTGTTAAGTCTGGTACCCATTACATAGAGGTGGGTGAACCCCAAGAACCGCCCGGTTTCGAACACCGGCCACGGGCTGCAGCCAGTCGCAGCTGGATTTGAAAGCGAGTCTCCTATCGACTGCGCTAACGCGGCCACCCTAGTAAAATATTAAATGGACTGTGGAGAGGTAAAATTCAGACTGACCAGTGGTCTGCAAATCGCAGCCAGCGACTATAGCGACCTGAGTGCGGCTCGGCCAGTTGGCCACACATCGATTTTGCCTCCGAAGAAACACGGTTCTTGACAGGTTCTTGAAAAGAAATTTGGTTCTCAGAAAAAATTGTTATCGACCTGTTGCTGATTTTGGGCTCTTTTGACTCAAGAGTTTGCCGACTACTTAGACAGACCAAAGAACATCTGGAGTCACTAATTGGAAGCAAAAGACCAATTACTGAGATGAATGGAGACGATTTATGCAACAGTGATCTCAATGATTCAGAAAGCTGAAAAAGAAATGGAAGAACGAATAAAATGTAAGCTATTTACTTTACTTTATTATCTAAAAAATTGTGTGCTTGACTGCTTCAGTTAGATAGGTTGAAAGCATTTATAATTTCTAAACCACCATACCATTAATACCACTGGTTCTGTTCTGTGGCTTAGGGGTTGTGAGTGCAGTTTCATATTGCCGACATTCCGGATTTGAAGCAGTTGCAGATTTTAAAAAATTATTTATATGGTCCGTTTAGTGGACCATAATAACAAAAAAAAAAACAGGATGTGGTCCAACGCCTGAATACACCCAACTAGTTATAGTAATTTGTCTCATTATTTTTCGTACCAGCAAACTCACAGTAAAGCTGCCGAAGAATACCAACAAATTACGATAACTCGTTAGCGAGTCTGACTGGCCAGGCGTGCCGACACACACAAAGAAATTTGTTAACTTTTGTTTGCTGCTAGTTTAAGAGCACAATACTTTTTTAAAAAACGACTAATAAAATGGCAAACGTGAATCAGTAAATAAAAACTAACAGTCAATACTTGAAATATTGTATTGACAATACCGGATTAAAATTATAGGCTTTTCGTAATAAATATAACTAGAGACTAGAATAGGTGACCATGACTGACTTCTACCCCATGGGACTATCACACAAAGCGATAAAAATAACACCGCCACCACTTTGACAATCAAAGTGTCGACCACGCGACCACGGACGAGGATCGCCAGTGGAGAGTCCCAGAAAAAGCGTTAGACAATGTTTGCCATATTTAAACATAGCTTTGAATAATATGGCTAAAGCCAGGGTGGAGCTTCATGAACCAAGAATAGGTTTTGTCAACGAACCGCCAGACATAGAGAGCTATGACCTCTGCCCTATGCGCCTTCCTAGGCTCAAGAGGAAAGATTAACTAACGTACATGAGAAAAATGCTTTTAAAGAGAATTTCTATTTGTGGTTAAAAAGGGCCGCGTAGAATCTTTACATGCGGCCTTCTAAAGATATTAGAAAAGTGTGGGGGGGGGGGGGGGGGGTGGGCAAAAGAAACCTGAGTTCCTGGACGCCCATGTGGCTGACTCACCTCGTCTGGCCATCTTCTAGCTGAAGTATATGACGCTGCAAGCACTCGTCAGTGACTGTTCTGTGGACGTTGTTGTTGGGACACAGGCTGAACTCAAAGTAACCTTTGTGGTTGACGGTAATTGTCACTGTTATTGAGATTGTCTGTGAAGGAAATCATGTCTGCTGTCATTTGAAATGTTATAGGAACGGTAATAATATCCGAATGGTGGTGGTAGCATTAATAGTAGTAGTAATAGTGATAGTAGCAGCAGCAGCAGCAGCAGCACCAGCAGCAGTAGAAGTATTAGTTGTTGACGTGGTCAGCGCCATCAAGAGGTCAGGGACCCCATCCTTATCTGCGTATGTCAAATGACTTGCCATACATAAAAATGCCTTTCCTGTGAGTGGCTGTGGTAGGGGCCCCCGCACACCGGTTTGCCCAAGGGCCTGTTACGCCGTTAAGACCCCTCTGGTTGTGGTGATGGCAATAGCAGTACTAACAGCAGAAGCAGCTGTTATTGTTGGCGCAGTGCTAATGGCAGTAACCGCAGCAGGAGCAGATGTAGAAACAATAGTATGGTACCAGCTTCCATATTCTTTCTTTTTCTTCGCGTTTACTGGCTGTAAACTCTGGCGGAAAGTTCTGGTTGTTTATCCACGTCTGGACTGCATTCCTGTTTCAGAACCTGAGTGTTGCGTGTACACCCGTTTTTACAGATCTGACTCATTTGTATGCAGATTGCTGGTTCCTTGCCTCTCACGCAGATGCACTACGACTTTGAAGAACGCTCCCAATTAGTCGACTCTTACGACATGCTTTTGGGTAGGCAGTTGGTCTATTCTTGTTTTGTCTATAAAAGGGCCCCGGAACCCACACGGGGAGCTTTTGAAGTATGTAAAAAAATCCATTACGTAGGCATACATACATTTAGAAGTTAAAATTCAGTCAGCGGTTTTATCGCTTCTTTCCTGTTCTTTGCAAGCAGGCATACAAAGTACGACTTGCGTAGAGCCGATAACGACAGACATCACGTATCAAATTAGCGGTAACTACCCCGGCTTTTCAGCCACCACACCCCATTATTGTTTTAGTAAGTAAAGTTAAGGACCCTTTTCCAACGGCTTCAGGCGTACTGGGTAAATAGGGACTAGACCTATATTTTATAGATCAACCGGCACTTGGTGAGTGATATAGTCAGCATCACGCCGGTCGCCTTTACTTCCCAGGACTGCACCTGGTACCCATTCAAACATATACATATTTCTGAAAACGGAAAGTTATCATACTGCTAGACACAACTATTATTATTTCTCCAATTACTCATACTTTATCGTTGTTGTTATTATCATTATTACTACTACGATTATGCTGACCACATTACCCACCGAGTGCCGACTGGTCTGTAAAAATATGGGTGCTCTTCCCATATGCCCGATGCGCCTAAGGGCGTGTAAAGGTATTTTTACTTTTACTACGATTATTAGTGTTGTTTTTACTACTAATATTACTATTACTGGGTTCGCTCCTTAATTTTTTTTATTTGTTCTATGCCTTATCCTCTCCTAAATTTTATAGTTATTCATGTGACACTCGTGTATGGGTACTGGTGGCCAGGATACTCTACCCCTTGTTGTTGTTGTTGTTGTTGTTGTTGTTGTTGTTGTTGTTGTTGTTGTCGAGAAAGGCTCCGACCGAAGCGTTCAATTTTTCTTGTGAATGTAGGTTGTATGCCATAGACCGTGTTGTGTGAAAATTGCCTATCAAAAAGGGAATGAGAGTGAAGGTAGTACATTTTATCCCACTAGGACATCACACAAGCGATAAACACCCGATGACACAAAGTGCCACCATGTTGATGAGAATCACCCGTGGAAAGGTCCCGGAAACCGCGTTCAGCCATTAGGCCATATTTATGGCTAGGCTATATTGCAGCGTCTAACATGAGCCAGAGTAGGTCTTCAGGATAACGAAAAATTACATCCCACAAGGGGATGACTGGTTTTACTAGCAGAGTGAAGGAAGATATGATTGCAGAAAGGATGAGAGCGGAGCGTCTGAGAAGAAACGGATTAAACGCAAATGTTGACAACAATGATCCTGAAAACCCATGCTATCATCGTAAAAGACTTTTATTGACACGGGCGGGTCTTGCTAGTCACACTCGCCATCGCCATGGGCTGTGATTCTCATGCCTCCTCATGGCAGAATATAACACTATTGTCTGGAAAGACGGAAAGGTGCCAGTCAATGTAGGTTGTTCCCTTTTCCGCCTTTGTTAAGCTTCTCCTACACAATTCAAGGGATTATTTTCTTGGTATTAGCCTGACTGCAGTCACCCATATTTTCATCACACTGTTAGAAGCACCAACTATTCTTTCTCTCACCTGGCCTTGGGTATAAGTTCTAGCAATTGTCCTGTGGCATATCGCCCTCCAGCCTCATTGTCTCTGTTCCCACAAACTCTGCAGTTTTTCTGAAAATATAAAATATACAGGCATCTGAATCATCATTAAACATCGTGTTGAAATTTATTCATTTTTTGGTTGGGTACGTAAGGGGTTGATTGTTTGTCGGTTGACTGGCTAGTTGATTTGTTGAACTTACTATTTGTTTCATTGGTTTGATAGTTAGTTTATTTCTTGCGTCTATTGGATTAGACGCTAGTTAGTTGCGTATCCTTTACAGGACGTTGCAGAACCAAACCCAACAACCCCTGGCTGTTGTGTGGTCTCTCTAGGCAAATTTACGCCCAGTAGTTTGCCATTGCTTCTGGACTGTCGGCTTTCTTGATACCACTGTCGAAACCAACGCAAGGCGCATTGCCGGCAGCTGGGATCGAATCTGGCATTCCGTCATTACGAAGCGAAGCGTTCGCATCGACTTAGCCACAGAGACGACGTTTATTGGATAATTCCACTTAAAATGAAATGTGTACATTGTGTATTTTAGGCAAAATATCTATTCTCCCAGATTTATTATTAATTGCAAGGCCGAAAGGTTGCGATATCCATCTAACGAGCCTACAGTTACATGCAAATTCCAAAAAGCGGCATAATACATTTTATGGATAAGGGTGTGTGCAAATCAATGCGCAAATCTGCTTTCATTCAGTGCGGGTATGTTTTGAGCAGAAGAGAAGATGGGGTTTGGGGGGTGGGGGGGGGGGTGTATGGTGATTAAACAAATTCCGAAAATGTGTTTTTTGGCTCGCAGAAAGTGAAAGCCTAGCTAGACTGTAGCTTGTTTAGCCTTCCCCTTTCTAACCCTGACCATGACCCAATGACCACATTTGAATGACCCAGAAATCCAATTTCCTCTCGACCTACAAAAGGCGCACCCAGGTCACCCAAGAAGCAAACCTAGGGCATTTACATTCTTATCAGATTACATTTGTATTTTCTAATCTGAGTTTACCCGGAGTCATTTTAAGTAAAAAAAAAAAGGAGTCCGTTAACGACTTTTAAAAAACAGGAGTCCATTAACGACTTATAAAAAAAACAGGGAGTCCGTTAACGACTTATAAAAAACAGGAGTCCGTTAACGACTTATAAAAAAGCAGGAGTCCGTTAACTACTTATAAAAAACAGGAGTCCATTAACGACTTATAATAAAGCAGGAATCCGTTAACTACTTATAAAAAACAGGAGTCCGTTAACGATATATAAAAAACAGGAGTCCGTTAACGACTTATAAAAAAACAGGAGTTCGTTAACGAAGTGGCATGATCTTGCCAGCTTGTCGGTCCACTACTACTACTACTACTACTACTACTACTACTACTACTACTACTACTACTACTACTACTACTACTGCCATGATCACCAGCACCAGACTAAATTTGTAGGTTATAGTTAACAGTAATTACAATCTTTTGTTTCAGATTGACATCACGACTGACAAGGACATTCCCTAACCAATTTAGTACTGGAAGAGGTCAGTCTTCGTTTCGGAGATTAGCTCCTACTTTTGTACATTACCTCCCGCCATACTTGCCTTTCAAGAATAGAGTACTCATTGAGCCAACGTTAGATCAAAGGTGAATTAGACATCCTAACGGAACAATAGACTGGCCACCAGAAAGATAGATCAAAGGTTAACCAAAATGCCCCAGCTGAACAGAAGACTGCCTACCTCAAAATAAGATCGAAGATTTCCTAACAGATTTCCTCACTCAAAAGCGGAAAAAAAAAAAGGATAGCCATTCTTTAAAAAAAAAAAAATTACATTTTCTACGTTCAGGATTGCATTCAATAGGAATAACATCTCAAGGCTGAAAACCAAACGGGTAAAAATACTACCAGAAACCTTTCTTCAACCGTATAACACGGCATGCGCGGGAAGCGGGCGACAGGCAACTTGCGCCCCCCCATCCCTTCTCCGAAAATGTTTTTAATTGGAGGGCGTTGAGACTTCTTCCCTACTTTTGTAAAGGGGCAAAGCCTCCAACTATGTATAAAAGATGTCTTTCAGTATTGAAGAAAAAATGAATATATGTGAACCCCCCCCCCCCCCCCCCCCCTCATTTCTCCAAAAGGTAATCCTAAAGATTGCAATACTTTGTGAGGAATTACCTTACCATATCTGTTATGTCAATAAACTTTTAAGAAAGTAACAAGAGACCGTTAATACCATCATGTAGTTTTAGAACTGGAAGAAGTTGTCTAGATTAAATAATTATCCTGAGACTCATTCTAGAAGAACACAAAAGAAACAACAACCTCTCATCCTGAATTTTACTGATTTCAAGAAGGTATTTGACAGCTTACATAGAATATTATTATGGGCAATTTTTGAAATGCTACGGCATGCCAGTAAAAATATTTCACATTTTTAAAAATGTATATGATGGTTTCAGAATGTGCAGTGCGCACTGAAAATGGTCTAAGTTACTGGTTTTTGGCGGAAACGAGTGAAACAAGGCTCCAGTCTATCTCCCTTGTTGTCTGGAGTAGCCATTGATTGAGTAATGAAGAAGTGTTGCAAAGGCAATACTGGCATCGATTAGGCAGAGAAAAGACAACTGGAAGATCTAGATTTCGCTGATGATTTTGTTCTGTCAAGTTAAAAATAACAAAGACATGCACCCCTGTAAGACGATTACAATGGGGCTCCCGATGGTTATGAAATAACCTATGTTGTAGTCAATGCCGTCTTCAGTATCTTCTTCTTCTTCTTCTTCTTCTTCTTCTTCTTCTTCTTCTTCTGCTTCTTCTTCTTTCTTCTTCTTCTTCTTCTTCTTCTTCTTTCTTCTTCTTCTGCTTCGTCTTTTCTTGCTCTTCTTCTTCTTCTTCTTCTTCTTCTTCTTCTTCTTCTTCTTCTTCTTCTTCTTCTTCTTCTTCTTCTTCTTTCGTTCGTTTAAAAAAATTAACTATATCTGTAATGTTGTCCCTAGTATGAACTTCACTGTCTTTTGTAATTCACTCAGCGACCCGTAAAGTGTCAAGTATGTTCTGATTAAATAGAAGACCACCCACCTCCGTTATAGCACAGCGTACGCCGTTGTCATCGTAGTTAATGGGCGTTTTGAATCCTTTCCGCCACATACTTGACCTTCCGGGTGGTTCTATCATATAGCCGTGACCTTCTGATCTCTGGATTAAGGTCAAGGCGATGAAGACTAATCCGAGTCTCGGGAGAGCGTGTTCCATTTTTATCTGTAAATTAAATAAAAAAGTTTATTTTTCCTATAAGACAGTGTTTCCCAAACATTTCTTTGTCGCGGCGCCTTTTATTTTTTCAATTGAAATTTTTCTACGGCACCCTAACCTAAGTGACTATTCGTGTCTTAGTTAAATTAATTATAAAGCTTTTGCAATATTTCGCGGCGCCCCTGTGAAGAGGTCGCGGTTCACCAGTGCGCCGCGGCACACAGTTTGGGAATCACTGCTATAAGGTATTGAAAATAAGCTTTAAAACATTAGATATCGGGGGGGGGGGGGGGGGGAAGAGGGGATCATCCCAATTTCATCTTTATTAGGATGACATTTTTTGTTATTTGAAGCCCTACCCTTTTGCCAGGGGCAGCAATATAGGCAGGCCATAAATGTGGCCAATTGTCTGAACCCGGTTTATGGGACCTCTCCATTTGTGTCATTGGGTGTTTGTCGCTTGTGAGATGTCCTAGTGGGGTGGAAAGTCAGTCAGTCAGTCAGATATCGAGGGAATCGACATTGTTGCGCATGTTGTTGTTGTTTTTTTTTTTTTTTAAATTTCCTTTTGAATATTTATAGCTCTGCATCTCTACCCGAAACTGCTAGCCACAGGCCAAGAGCATCGTGCAAAGCACTAGCTCCTTAGCTCATGTGGCGATAACCACGCATGACATAAAAATTGCACCCAAATAAAAAAAAAAATACATTTTTTTCTACTTACAACTTTATACTGCTTTACGATATGTACAAGGAGAAGAAAGAAATGTATTTTGTTTCAACATCTTACTTTACAGGATCAACAACGTAATCCCATCATTTCAAAGCCGTTGTATGGGATCTCTGAGCTATTTTACGTCAAATGTGTATTGAGTATAAGGGGTGTACATATGAAGCTTATCTTGTCGTATTGTCATTGTTTATGTTATTTACTTACCGTATTTCCCCAAGTATAAAACCCACCGAAAAAAAGGAATAAATTATTATGATTACATAAAGGTATTTAACTCTCGTTAAAAAAAGGGGAAGGGGAGCGGGAAGTCGGGAAATGTGAACCAGCGTCATTGCACACGGTTATAAACCATAAGTGCTCTGCAACCAGTACGGACAGCTGATAAAAATTGTCCGCCTGTGTCGCCGTTCACACATAACTCTGTAGCTACAGCGACGTTCTTCAATTTACACCAGAGTATTACTCTGGTACCCATTTCCTGTCGGCTCTGTGGCTAAGTCGATGCGAACGCTTCGTAATGCCGGGGTACCGGGTTCGATCCCAGATGCGGGTCATGCGCCTTGCGTAGGTTTCGACAGTGGTATCAAGAAAGCCGACGGTGCCGAAAGCAATGGCAAACTACTGGACGTAAATTTGCATAGAAAAACCACACAACAGTAAGGAGCTCTTGGGGTTGGTTCTGCAACGTCCTGTAAAGGATACGCAACTAACTATAATTCATCATAGAATCCATAAAACTACTGATCCCTGTCAAAATGTCATCCATATGATAGTTCTTTAGCTTGCCTGTGTCTGATGACGTATCACTGTCTGGTCCTTGCTTAGTCCATTTCGTTTCATGAATCTGAAGCACCAGTTGTGTCCTCCTGTGAAGTCTAACTTGTTTTTCGCCAGCAGTGTTTCTTGCCTCATGCCAAAGCATCTAAGTGGACACAGCAATTCCGATAGCTCATTGCTCTTTAGTCGATATCTTGAATTCCCCATGTGTGTCCTGAGGCCCCACTGTAGGGAAAACAAGAATAGACCCACTGCCTTACCCCCCTCCCCCCCCAACCCCCCCCTCCCCCCAAGAATGTCGTAAAAGTCGACCTTTTGGGAGCTTTCCTCGAAGAGTATGAGTGAACCTGCCAGAGCGGCAAGGAACAATCAACTGTACTCAAATAAGCCAGTAAAACTGACGTATACGCAAAACTTAGGCCTTGGCACAAATTCCAAATGGACGAATAACCGGGACTTTTCGCCGGACCTTACAAACTGGTGAAGAAAGAAGAAGAAGAAGAAGAAGAAGAAGAAGAAGAAGAAAGAAGAAGAAGAAGAAGAAGAAGAAGAAGAAGAAGAAGAAGAAGAAGAAGAAGAAGAAGAAGAAGAAGAAGAAGAAGAAAGAAGAAGAAAGAAGAAGAAGAAGAAGAAGAAGAAAGAAGAAGAAGAAGAAGGAGGAGAAGAAGAAAGAAGAAGAAGAAGAAGAAGAAGAAGAAGAAGAAGAAGACATATCTCCTGTTCCATCTCTACAGCAGGCCATTTTGCCGACTCGCCTGTCATGGTATTCTTCTCCTTCCTGACATTTTCTGCAGGGTTTCTTTTTCCCAAAGTCTCTCTCAGACGATTTCTCATTTTGAAAAGGACTAAACTTAGGTTCTACAGCACGATTTTCATTTACATTTGCAAACTGGATCACTTTTAACTTGAATTGAGGGTTCCTATTAATATCCTACCCTAGATGGCGTCACAGGACAGTCCAACATTTCAGAGGGTGGTAAGACTGGTGTCCCCTGGCTTTCTGATACTTTTAACAACCCCAAAACATCTAGAACTGGCCCTAACCCCAACACACCTAAGCCCCACAAAAGAGTGCAGCCTAGCTCCCACAAGTGCATGCAGCTTAGGTTCCACGACTGCATGCTGCCTATTGACCACCCCTAAAATATTAGGCTGTCCCGTGACCTGGGGATTTCCCCTGTTTAGGGTAGGATATGAATTAAGAACCAGATTGAGCAATGTAGTAAAATCGTTTCTGAGACATTTACGGGCAAAATGAATCAATCTAATGTAAAAATTAGAAAGACTGAGAGCGAAGACAAGCGTAAAAATTATTAACATCGGGAAATAACGTTTCATTGTTGTTTATTTGTTATCCATTTTATTTCGCCCCTGAACAGGCATACCCAAATAATGCAATTACGGGATATTTTCTAAATAATTATTTAGTAAAAAGTTACTATCATCGTATAAGACGAACTATGTTTACATACCTTATATTTTGGGAAACAGGTGCGTCTTTACTTGGAGAATTACGGTATGTTTCTTTCTTCGTGTACCTGTGTTCAGTACAAAACCATTTTTTGTTCTAGTAAGAGGATATGTGCAGTTGTGTGTAAATAATCATAAAGAATGTTTATATTTACACAGTGTCCTGAACATGCACTTAGATTAATATACACGGATACATGATCCGTGCATGGGTTGGTTGGTTGGTTAGCTGGAGAAAAACAAAAACATGACTGAGTTTAATAGTGCGTCTAGTGAAGCTTTGGTTACACGTGGTGTATGTTTAATGACTGTATTTTTGTTTTGAAATATTGCAGTTCGTATTTTTGTAATTACCGTCGGTGGCGTCAATGCAAAATATACTGCTTAACTGTGTTTTTTGTTTGGGGTACCCTTTCCCCACAATGCAGATCTATTCACTTACTTACTTACTTACTTACTTACTTTACTTACTTACTTACTTAGTCGCTCCTCTTCTACCTTGGGGTGTAGAGGTTTGCCAGAGAGATCGCCAGACGTCTCTATCAGCAGTTTTCTCTCTGGCTTTGTTCCATTGAGTCCTCTGTCAGTTAGGGACTGTCGGATATTGTCTTCCCAGCGCACCCTGGGTCGTCCCCGAGGTCTGGTTTCCTGGTTCTTAGCCTCCCATGCTTGCCATGGTGGCCGATTTTCTCCCATTCTGCATACATGTCCAAACCATCGTAACTGTGACTGATCTACTCGGGTTAGTAAGGGCTGGGTATCAAGATCTTGACGTATTGTCTGATTGCGGACTTTGTCCCTTCTTGTCACTTGGACCACCTTTCTCTGGTATCTAATTTCCGAGGCCTGCAGCTGGCTTCCGTGAGCTGTTGTCATTGCAGCTCTATTCACAATCGACTAAACTGGTTTAATTGCTAACAGTATTCGGATAAGACACTTAAGGAACAGAAAACGACATCATAAATTGTTGAACAACCACATTCGATTACATGTCACTGTCAAGGAACACATGCCCAACCCAAAATACTCTTCATAAATTAGTTAGCAACATTATAGCAAATATTAGTTTCTGAAACACGAGTATATATAACAGTAATATTCTAAACTTTAAGGCCACATTAGCGCAGTAGATAGGAGACTCGCTTTCAAATCCAGCTGCGACTCGCTGCAGGCCACGGCTAGTGTTCGAAACCGGGCGGTTTCAGAGTTTCTCCGAGCCTCTAGGAAATGGGTACTAGAGTTGCGGACTTTCTACCCCACCAGGACATCACACAAGCGATAAACACCCGATGACACAACGTGCCACCATGTGGATGAGGATCACCGTGGAGAATTCCCAGAAACCGCTTTCAGACAATTGGCCATATTTATGGCCTGCCTATATTGCGGCCCCTGGAAAAAAAAACTCTGGGGTAAATGGAGGAACATCGCTGTAGCTAAGGAGTTGCGTGCGGACGGCTCAGACGGACGGTTTCTTATCAGCTGTCGGTACTTGTGGCAGAGCACTTATGGTTTATAACCGTGTGTAATGACGCTGGTTCACATCTCCCGACTTTACCTTTTTATTCTAAACTAACGGTTACATAGCGCTTTAAACGTGATAAAAAAAATCCAAGAACAGATAGACATACAGATAGGCAGAGACACATAAATTAACACAGACAAACATGAAAGGAGAAAAAAAAAAGAAAGAAACGGGAAAAAATGACAAATCAAAAAAGGAGGAAAATAAAGAGAAAATTAAGAACAGAAAGAAAGAAAAAAAAAAAGAAAGAGAGAAAGAGAGAAAGAAAGAAAGAAAGAAAGAAAGAAAGAAAGAAAGAAAGAAAGAAAGAAAGAAAGAAAGAAAGAAAGAAAGAAAGAAAGAAAGAAAAGAAAGAAAGAAAGAAAGAAAGAAAGAAAGAAAGAAAGAAAAGAAAGAAAGAAAGAAAGAAAAAAAGAAAGAAAGAAAGAAAAAGAAAGAAAGAAAGAAAAGAAAGAGAAAGAAAAAAGAAAGAAAGAAAGAAAAAGAAAGAAAGAA